GGTTGTTAGATCCATTTGTTTCTATTAGTGAGTAAAATTATGAGTTTCAGTTAAATTATTTCATAGATCATAATCGATTTGGTCCTAAAGATAAAATGATAGTTATATAAACAGATAAATTAAAAGGGTTGATTAAATGAGTATAAATGAGTAACAAATGAATGAACAACTGTCCAAAATACCAAAGTAGGTTTGGGGTATTTAGGTTAGGTTACATTAATTTAAATTAAAGGAAAGAATTAGAATCTCACCTCTGTCAGTTCTGGAACGTTATATTTTTTCCAAACGTATTTTTTGTTTAAAGAAAAATTAGTGATAAAAAAAAGAAAATAATTCCACTCGACTGAGCGAGTGGGGAAAAATGTCTGAAGATTTAGGTTGATTTAATTCTCAGCTATTTTGCTGAGACAAATCTGCACCTGCAATCTAGGCTTCAAACTTCATTTTCCCCCTTTTCATCTTACTCTTGATGAAATTGACATTTGCAAATTATTGATTTTTTAGTATAAAATATCAATCATTGAAAAGATCAGGGCAATTTATCAGTGTTGCACCTGCCTTATTTAATTGAAAATTCAAAGTCTTTTGTTAGGATCGCAAAATCGCAAAAGGACTGTGAACTTTGTCGCCGCGCTGTCTGCTTTTTAAGGCAAGACAGTAAACCAGTCCGCTAACGGGCGAGATGCTTCTTTTCAACATCCAGTCTTAAAACAACAGAAAAAAATTAATCCAATCTTAAAAGAATTATTTAAATCGGAAGGCTATTTAAAATGTTAGAAAACTAAGTTAAACTATAAGTTAGTGTAGTATTTGCAATACTAAAACTCACCCCCTTTTTAGATAGATAGTTGTTGGTACACACAATTACATTGTTATGAAATTATCTATTTAAATGATCAAGTTATTTGGGTGAAAAGTTTGATAATGAAATAATACTTAAAATTGAAATGTTGTCTTCGATTTTTTCTGTGGAACTTTCGTTTCCTTCATTCACGATGTCTTCACTCGTTTCTTTTTCAATTCGAATTCTGGAACGTCATTTGAACTTAATCGCAATTCTCCCTGTTCTGATGTTTGTTGTATTCGTCATAATCGAATCTTGATCGCAACCATGTTGCTAGGGTTTTGCTTCTGACAATCATAAATGCAATTGAACCTTTTTTGTTCCTTCTTCTGCGACTTCATCCTTGTCTAGTTTATTTACGAGCTTCCAATTTATTACCGGTTTGCAATCCGTTGTAAGTGATCATTAAAATAGTAATTTTTCTATGTCTTACAGAATCAGATAATATAGGAATTGTGTGTCGTACACAATTAAAGTAATGTTAGATTTTATCAGACAAGTAAATTTAAAATTTGTAGTTATTCTGTCCTGTTTGTTAAGTGTTTTCCCTGTTATGGGTACACTTGTGTCATTCACATACCCACCACACTGAAAAAGAGTGAAGAAAAAATGATGCATTGATTAGCTATCGGTTACAGAAATTGTTTCTTCGTGCACTCGTGTAGTATCTGTGTTAGACATGTCTTCAAGACTTACATTGAAAGATTAAGTTTCGAAAAACAATTAAGAAAGTAGAAAAAAAGAAGAAAGAGGAGAAAAAGTAATGTAGAAAAAGTAGAATAAGTAAACAAGAAAAAGGAGAATAAATAAACTAATTTAAAAACTGTCACAATCGAACAAGTATTATCTTTTTTTACTGGAAAAGCAAATTGATATCTATTTTGTCAGGCTGATTCACGAAAGCTTTGATAATTTGAGAGTTTTGAGAGCTTGTATTTTCAATTGTGATTGCTCCTCTATTGAAACCGACAAGTTTTTTATAATAAAGAATCAATTTTGATTTATCTGAGAAAATGTAAATCGTGTTCAAACTAGCAAGTACGTGGTCGACTTCAGTAGGATGTTGTAATCGAGCACGAAAATGATATCCATGACTAGGCAGAACATTGTCCTAAGCATAATGTATTTCGAGTACCTCTCGATATATCTCAATTATAATAACGTTTACAATTGGCTTATAAATGGCAATTATGGCAAGTATTATGCTTATCTTAAAGAAAAAAACAAATTGCTATACTGATGGCAATTAATTGTTTCCAAAAACTCACATGGACTTTTTGTCTGAAATTAAAATTTTATTAATTTTGAAAATTTTCAAAATTTTCTGAAATTATTTTTATTAGGTCTCAGTGATCTCTGATTATATCGAAACTAATCAAATTGGTAAGTGTTTGGGCAAAATCAAAGTTAGAGTTTTCTAAAGAACAATTATATCCCATAAGCTTTTAAATGTTAGGTTATGACAAGCGCTACACGATCCGTTGAAAGAGTTATGTTCCATAAGTGTTCAATAAAAAACAAATTTTTTCAAATTTATTTCGCTGGTATACATTCTCAACCACTTTGAACGATTTTAAGAAGTTTTGGAACAGATCCTACACAGAAACGCAGAAGAAAATATTGTTTGCATTTTTTAAAATGATTATTATCACCCGCATGGTCATAAAACATGTTAAAATTTAGAGGTAAGTAAACAAATTGGGTGGTTCACTCTAGCTTTGAAATAGTATACAACATATTTGAAAATTATTTTTTATGTTTCCTGTTAGATCATAAATGTGTTTTCGTTCGTATTTTTTCTTTCAAATTTTTCGCTGATTGATCCTTTTGATATAGTTATTTTGACTCTGTAACTTTCTTAAGGATAACAAGGTTGTATTTTCTCGTGTCTCAAAATATAAAATTGTATAAGCATTGATGACTTTTTTCTATAGATTTTCATTCCCTCATTCATTGGAAGGCCGTAACTCTTAATATTGAACCGAATAAAGCTCATTGTCTGTTATCATGTGCGTCGTGATTCGCACCTGCGACTGCTGGTCGAGTGTCTTTTGAAATTAGTATTTTTTCTCTTATATTAAAAAACCTCTCGCTTCTTTATTTGGATCTAAGCCTGTAAAAATTTCGAGAACTTAGTCTGGATTTGCGACTATTTTTGCCATTTTTGATTTCGAGTAATTTTTTTTCAATGATCTGTATAATTTTTTTTCAAGCAACATGGAATAATTGTTAAATTGTATTTATTTTTAAGTGGAATCGACGCACTAAAGTTATTTCAGAAAGTAATCGAGAGCGAAGTAATTAACCGTTCTTCTGGTAAATATTATGTTGTTCAAAATGTTTACTTTTTGGAGAATTGTATCTATTTTGGGAGTATATCTTCGAAAAAGGACATATAGTTCATGTTTATCTTCGTGAAGGTGTTTCGATAAAACGATGATATGATTTTGTTCAGTGTTAATATTGTACCAAAGTTTTTTAAAATTTTTTAATTCTTACTTTACCTTGTAATTTTGAAGTACAAAAATCGATTTAAGAATGTGTTGACATTATTTTTTTTAATATCAGGGTTTTTCACAATTTTAAATAATGCAATTCTACTGTAATTAACTTGATTATTTAAAAAAAAATGGCTTAGTTTCAGCATTTTTCGATCAGGTTATAGATGATTTTTCAATGAAAACTGAGTTTTTTTTTCATTGTAGTTGGGCTTTTGTGGACCATTATTGCGTAAATGTTTAATGAATTGAAGTTTTCTTAAATCTTAAATGGCTTAAGTTATAGGTAAGTTTGAAGTTCACCTATCCTAATTGAGTTTGTATTGACTAAAAATGGGTAAATTGTTGATAAAACCCCAGTTTACCTAGCTTAAATGGTTTCACTATATCCGAAAATAGATGATTTTTATTCTAATACTGAGTTAAACTAGTTTAGATGGCTCTTGGGGCCAGATTTGGGTAAATTGTTGGTTATTTTGGAGTTAATTTATTTGGACCAAAATTAGGCAAAAATTTGTTAAAATGGAAATTTATTTAGTTTAATTGAATAAGCCTTGACCAAAAATGGGAGCTTATCTGGATTAAGTGGACCTTTTCTGACATGTTTGGCCAAAGCTTTTTTTAAATGAGAAAGTTATCTGGCCTAATTGGGCTTATTTTGACTAACATTGGGCAAGATTCTGTTAAAATGGGCGTTATCCTAGCTTAATCGGATTTTTTTTAACCTAAATTGGACCAAATTTCTTTAAAATGGAAGTTTATTTAACTTAATCGGACTTATTTTAACCAACTTTGGGGAATTTTTAGTTTTTTCATATATATAGTTTATCTGTGTGTGCTTATTGTAACTTTTATTTTAACTTAGCATAGGTTCAGTGAGTTTCACTCAATTTGATCGTCCAAAAAAAATTGTCAGAAAAAACACACCTTATACTTCCTTCCTGGTGAGCGTAGATCATTCCTTCCCTAATTTGGATTAAAATTTCCTTCGCTGGTCAGATATTTAGGTTTAGAGTTAAATTAAGTAAGGTTAGAGGTTAAGCCTCGCGAAGGGATGAAAATCATAAAAAGCATAATTGAACAATGAAGAATTGAGAATGAATCTCAATGTTGCACAGATTTGATTGTGTATATGACGGGTTAAATTAGTTTATCAATCATTTAGCGTACACTTAGATTGCATACAGGGCCTCTTACCCCCTTTTTAGGAATGAATTGAAATGTTTAATAAGTTTTTGAGCTCTTTCGGAATGTCTGATGAAAGAATAAAACTGTAAATAGTTTGTTAACCTATATTATAAAGCTATTTTGGGTGAAAAATTCGTTAACTTTCTAAGCTAATTGTTTATACTAGCCGATTTGGTCAGAAAACGTTTCCTATTATTTGGTAAATCTTAGTTATAATCATAATCAGTTATAATTTCATGAGTTAAAGTTAGCAGAAAGCTGTCAAGGACTGATGCGCGATAGAGAAGATTTTGATAATCTTAACTCTATCTTGGACTATCTGGCAATAGGGCGGTTAATTAGATTGCGGGTCCTAAAAATAGATAACCTTTGTCTCTAGCGTTTTGAAGTTGGAAACTGACTAACCGAAACTCACTTTCCTAATATTTGCAATGAATACAATTAGTTCTTTTGTTTTCAGACCCTATATGTATTTAATAAGAGGTAGTTCTCTCCTCAAGTCGCACCAGTCTTACTAAGAGAAACGTGGGGTCGGTTTTTAGATCCCTTTGTTTCTATTAGTAACTAAAATTATAAGTGTCAGTTAATTTATATCATAGATCATAGTCGATCTGGTCCTAGAGATAAAAAGATAGTTTTATTAACAGATAAACTGAAAGGGTTGATTAAAAGGATATGAATGAGTAACAAATGGATGAAAAACTGTCCTAAATACCAAAATAGGTTTGGGGTATTTAGGTTAGGTTACATTAATTTAAAATAAAGGAAAAAATTAGAATCTCATCTCTGTCATTTCTGGAATGTTATATTTTTTTCGAAAGTATTTTTTGTTTAAAGAAAAATTAGTGACAAATAAAAAAAGAAAATAATTCCATTCGACTGAGCGAGGGGGGTAAAATTCTGAATGATTAGGTTGATTCAACTCTCAGCTATTTTGCTGAGACAAATCTGCACCTGCAGTCTAGGCTTCAAGTTCATTTCCCCCTTTTCTTGTTACTCTTGATGAAATTGACATTCGCAAATTATTGATTTTTTAGTATTAAAAATCAATAATCAAAAAGATCAGGGCATTTTATCAGTGTTGTGCCTGCCTTACCTAATAAATTTGGTCTTTTGTTAGGATCTCAAAACCGCCTGCCTTACCTGAAAATTCAAAGTCTTTTGTTAGGATCTCAAAACCGCAAAAGGACTGGGGGCTTTGTCGCCGCGCTGTCTGCTTTTTGAGGCAAGACAGTAAGCCAGTCCGCATAACTGGCAAGATACTTGTTTTCAGTATCCAGGCTAAAGGCATCAGAAAAAAAATGATTCCAATCTTAAAAGAATTATTTAAATCGAACGGATATTTAAAATGTTAGAAAACTAAGTTAAACTATAAGTTAGTGTAGTATTTACGCTACTACAATATTTATAAAATTACAAAGATAATCGATTATAATCCACCAAAAACAGATTAAAAACATAGTTTTTTCATATCAATATAATCCAATATAATCGATTAAAATCAATTAAAAATGGATTAAAATCAGAATATTTTTCAAATCATTATAAACCATTATAACAGACTATAATGGACTATAACGGCTTTTTTGAGAAGAAATTATGAATTTTGAAAATTTTTTCAAAATTAATTCATTTCCTGATTAGTGCAGTTGCTACGTACTATGTTTCATAAAGTTTTACTCTTCACATAATATTTTATTATTTAAGTTTTCTCTACTTTTTTATACTATGTAAACTCCATCGCCTCTTTTAACAACCCCCTTCCCTAGTTCCCTAGTTTACCCCTGGTCAGTTTACCATGCGCTCCCTCATCCCACCCATTTTATCCCTCCTCGGTGCAAACACCCCCTATCTTAATTTAAAATCCCCCTTTTACTGAACATGGGCAGGGTAAAAAATGGGTAGAGAAGGTGGAAGAAAAAACTTGGAAGAAAGGGTTAAAATGGAGAGTTTTTCCTCCCCCGTCCCCGTTTAATGTTTAACAACCTGGGGGGAGGGGGTAAACTGTAAATTGGGGTTGGGTATGGGACTGAGTTGGGTTCGGGGGGTTGGGTTTGGGATAAACTTTAGTGAATATGGGGGGGTTGGGTTTGGGGGGTGGGTTTGTGATAAACTTTAGTGAACATGGAGGGGGGGGGGGGGGGTGGTTCGGATAAAGGTAGGGTAGTTGAGAGGGGGGGGCTCATTGCGCAAATGCGGATGGAAGGCAAAGTGAGACGGGGGCACTCAAAAGTGAGGCAAATTTGAGTAGGTTTGATTGCGAGTAGGCCGTGAGTAACGCAGAAAAAAGCAAGTTTTACAATTGATTTTGCCAAAAAAATGTAAAAATTATAATCCTTCATAATCATATATAATGGATTTTAAATGGATTATAATCGGTTATAATAGATTTTAATTGATGTGTTTTCATGAAAAAAATTGATTATAATGACAATATAATCAATTTTGTGGTCTAAATTTGCAACATTAACAACATTTTGAACACCAATTTTCAATTATAATTGATTATCATCCATGGAACTCCGATGCGGTGGCGGATTATCCCGCACAACAAAATCGTTCCAAACTGAATTGAGGCTAGCTAATTGGTCGTATTAATTTCATACGACTTAAAATTTAGGTTTTCAAAGTTTTCTTTTTCAAAAACTATTCGGTGTGAAATAAGGGACAGTTGGAACATTCAGGGCTTTGCCCTGATATACAAGCAGTCTTGTTTTATCAAAAATGTATTACGGAGCCCAACTGTGCATTTTGTGAATTGTAAGCTGATTCCGCAACAGGCAAATATCAGGACGTGTCACGGAATCTGCAAAGTTGCATTTTTTCTCTGATCTTCTCTGCTGTTTTGGATTCCACGGACAAATAGCTAAAACACTGTATTGCTCAAAGTTGCTCCAAAAACAGGCAAGTTTGCGGAAACCGCAACAAAATATGTGGATTCTGGAACAAGTTTGTGGAATCCATGAACAAATCATTATATATGTGTATAGTAAACTTAAGCTGTCGCGGAATCCGCAACTGTAAGAGGAATTTGCAAATTTTATGCGGAATCCGCAAATTGTAAGCGGAAACCGCATAAATTTGCGGGATCCACTTACATTTGCTGAGTCTAGAACAATTACCTGTATTTGCTTGTTGCGGAATCCGCAAAAAAATCAATCTGCCGACAAAATTTACCTTACTGGTATTTGGACGCGGTTTTCACTGAAATTTTGTAAATGGAATCCACTTACATTTTGGAACATATTCTAAGACTTGTGCCTAGAATCCAGCAACATACAGAAACAAAATTGTGCGCCTATCCAGTGCACTGTTTGGCCTCAAAATGTGGTTTAGTGTATGTAGAATGAGGTAAAATACTTAGTATTCGGATTCACTAGTGCATTTTCTATCATGAGAAATCAAGTCAATATCTGTTGTTTTATAGGCGCAGGACCCAGTTGTTTTGTAATTTACAACCAAAATTAGTTAAGGCAATATCACGACATATGAGTTCAATCAATCGCATCTATAAATCAATCGGTTCTTTCAAATAAATTAATATGTACCCCGAGAATTCTTGATTAAAGATTTCTAAATATCAGAAAACATGTAAAACATTAGAACAAATTTCAACCTTCTAGATATTTTTTCACCAACAGATAGCTTCTTTTATAACGCGTTCAAATGAATCGACCAGATTAATCTTAGCCGATATGAAAATAAGACAAATTATTCAAACAAGATTTCAAGTGCCATATATTAAATTTTAAAAAACCAAAACGACACCTCATTTTCGTTCCTCGTATTCGTTTCGTTGGCCCCAATCGGAATTTATCATTTTTAGAAAATTCGAATAATCAAATTCGAATAATCAGTGTCAAACTTTCAGTAGCAGAAAAAAATGATCTAACCAACCAGTTGGTTATTGGAACAATTCAGTGTTGCAAGTAGTATTCATTTAGTACACTTAGATAGGGGGATTTGGTGTCCACGGAAGATCACTGGGTAAAAAGGTCGTGAACACCAGTTATTAGTTGATCAGCAAAGGTCATCATGTAATAATTGCTTTGTTCATATCATCACAATCTACGCTTTTAAAACCACTTTGCTTCTATTTTGGTCTCAGACTCTTCCATCTGAAGAAAAATATCCGTCGTCGAAGAAGAAAGTTTATGATGTCTCTCATCCTAAATTGTTCTGTAGTCAACTATCTCTAGGTATGTTGGCAAACGATAAAGTGATGCTTTCCTTACACCGAGGAAAAATTTCCATAATCTACTCGACTTTCCTCTTCGCTAAATAAGACCGAAAGCTTTGTTTTCACTTTTAAACTTTTAAAAACAATTTTCAAATGCCGGCATAGAGGTTATTTTCGTAAATGTTTTTGAGCTCTTGAAAAAGTGAGCTTTTTATGCTTTATGTCTTTGACAAAACCTTGTCTTTTATTTGACAATTTGACAATTTATGTCTCTATGAATTTGAATGCTGCAAAAGAGCAAGCAAAAAATTGTTGTTCCGAGCATTTGAAATATAGGGAGGAACTTTGTATTGAGGTGTGTTTTAGTTTTTGTAAAATCAGGTACCAGAAATACATTTCGGAATGGGTCGAGTGAAAAATCATATTAAAGCCGCTTCAATGTGGTCGGAAAATTCTGTGCTACTTTGGTGAAAACGGGCCTTGTTGGCTTAATGGTGTTCTCCCAAACGATTCTAATTTGTATTTATAAATTTTTATAAATAACTTTGTAACTAGATATAGTTTGGAAACAATTTATTTTTATTATTATAAACAAACCGAGAAAAATTTACACTTTTCCTTGGACAGACACTTTTTTCATAAATAGAAATTAACAAAGTGAAAAAAAACATTCAAACATTCGTTCAAAACTAAAACATATCTAATTTAGTATCAAACCAATATAAGCATTTTGTGAACTCAAATTTGATTACATTTTTCCTTCGTCTAAAGTTCGTCCCCAACAAAAAACGAAGAAAAAAATTCAATTTTTGTGTCATGATGTATGAGTAAACCATTTTTGCAAAATCATCATGATATTTCAAAACAATTGATGTTGGAAAATCTTTTCAATTTTTATTTTTAAAACGATAACTAAGTACAAAAGTCTTCTACATAATCATAAAATGTACGAGTCACTCAGATTAAGCAAATCATTATGTTTTTTTTAGGAAAACTGTCGGACAAATTTAAGAAAAAACATTTTTCAGAGCCAAAATTAAGTTTAACAATTTTCAAACTTCAACATACGTTGCTTGAGTCATCCAGATCGAGATACACTATCAAGTTATCTCAAAAACTAAAGGTTTTTTAACGTACTAAATAAGCTTTTAAGAAGCGTAAGTTATGTTTGAAAAACGTAAAACTTTTTCATCGAATATGTGATTCATATAGAATAAGCTAAATCAACAAGTTATCTTACAACTTTCTGATTTTTTTAAGAACCTTTAAGTGAAGAAAAAAATTGTGCAGAATGA